CACACACACACACACACACAGAGAAACAGAAATTCTCAAAAAATGCTGTTCAATAATCATTGGCCAAAATGTCTGTGAACCAAATGATTCAGGGAGCACCACACATTGCATGAACACACAAACTGATAATATATGCAATACTGTCATTTTATGGCTGCTCGTCCTGGCTTTCATTTTTATAGCTTTGTGTTTTTCATTTTTCTGTCTCTTTTCCACACATGCATCCACACACGTGTATGTAGCCGTGCTCCTTCTGTGTCAACAGGCACACACACACACACACACACACACACACACACACACATGCATCACATCATAAATCAAGTCCCAGTTAGTCAGACAGACACACACACGCACACACACACACTGTAGATTCACGCAGTGAAGATATAAACAACATGCAACAGCAGCTCTGCACCATAAAGACACAGAGCAAGACGTCTGAGAGGAAAAATGTACGTACCACACATGAGCAGAGCAGAGGAAGCTTAGCACGAGCCCTCATCAGCCACAAACAACCGACCAAAATGCCCGCAATGAGGGGAAAAAGAGGGATGGAAAGTAAGGGAAAGATACAGTGGCTGTACAAGTGGGTGAGAGAGAGAGAGAGAGAGATGGTGTAGGAACGCAAAGAAACCTGGCACACTGTTCCACCTCTGAGTCACTGAACAGGTTTGTGACAGAGAGAAAAGGAGAGAGGGTGGGAGAGATGAGAGGAGGGATATGAGAGATTATCTCACCTACGCTTTCTGGAAGATTTCCCCATCATGCATGCATTTTACACACTCTTAAAAATATACATTCTTCAATAGATCTTCGTAGCACTTTAGGCTCAGCAAAGAACCCTGTAGAAGGTTCATGAGTTGAATATATGGCTCTTTGGAGATTTAAAAAGTTTAAAATGATTAAAATGCTACATTGTAAGTTCAATATATTCAAAGATGCATATTGATTTATGGGTTCTTTAAAGACCCCATGAAATTAAATTATTGGATTTTTGTGACGTTTAGTCTTTTAGCGTGAGGTCATCCATGACCCTGTCATTTATTTGAAGTGCATTTTTATTTGTCTAACCGATAATCATGATTTCTGGTTTAAACCTGTTTTGCTCAGTTTGTCTAAAAGCTATTAACACTCCCCATATAGAACAAATTAAAAGAAACGATTTTGTTTAAATAGCATTGTGGGTATTATTATTATTGTTGTTATTTTGTTAGTACATAAATTGAGAAAATATGATGCATAATTAAAAAATACATCACAATACATTAAGGCATTTTGAAGTTTTCTTTATATTAAGTAAACTGCGTTTTACATTGACTAGCAAAATTTTTAAATTTTATCTTAAGTAAAAATTCTACTCATATTATAGCTAATTTAGCTGTTGTTTATGATGAAATTAAGTTGTAAAATGCTACAAAAAAAATTGTGAGTTACATTAATTTTGGTTTTTGGCTAAATAAACTATCTTTAAATCGTTTTACTTTGTATGAATGTTTTTGCCTTTAGAAAAAAAAAACTATATTAATAAAATGAAATATGAAATCAAAATTTTGCCTGCAACAAATTACAGTAATTTATTTATGTTTGTCCAAAGTATCTTTTTTTTTCTTTTTTTTTTTAGTGTATCTGCTAGTACTCCTATAGGTTGACAGAATTAACCTTCAGTAAGATATTTAAATTGGACTCATCTGAAACTCCTCAGAAAAATGACCAACAACAACAACAAAAAAAACTGCTTGTTGTCCTATATTTTATACGCCCTGCCTCATACAACTGTCAGGAAATCCATCAACACAGGAAAGCAATTTGTTTGGGGATTTATTTAAAGGGATTTAAAGGTATTTAAAGGGAAAAGTATGTAATTTCTGTGCCACTAGAAAGAATATAAAAGTGCAAAAAGACTGACTGTTTCACACAGTCTGCCATTGATCGAAATTGCTATATAAAGATACTCTTGTTGTCATTTTTAGTAATAATTCAGTCAGTTGCATGACAGGCTGGTCATGCGATGTAAACAAGTCAGCAGCCATGAGGGGCCCATAGCTAAAATATGGATATAATGTGTAGCAGTCAAAGAAAACTAGTAACTTGAACTAACAGCTCTGTTGTAGACAATGTGACACACCAATGGCTGACCTTTTCATCTGAACATGTCCAATTATATACAGTCTTACTGGAAAGAGATGCAACTATTACATATATCATAGGAACATACACTTTCCTCTTTTATTTCATACAAAACTTTGTATGAAATAAAAGCTTGAAAGATTGATATTACATAAAAACGGCAAGACACTCTTACAAAAGGTCAGGGGAAAGTGTATATTTGTAAGACAGAAAGACTTATATGCGAATGTTTTTATTAATCAAATGAGCATGAATACATGGAATAAGCAATCCATTTCAGCATTTTTCAGTTGATGTACTTTCTGAGCTATGACCTTCCTGGTCAATTGTTGGAAACAAAATTGACCTTTTTCTGCACGTGTATGTGTATATTTGTGTGGGTCTAATGATGTTAAGTGGCTTGTCAGTGGGGGCGATAATTAATGACCACCTCTGTAAACAAAGTCAAGCACATAAACAGTATTAAACACTCACAGAAGGAACAGTAAATAATTCAAAACCAACTAACAATAAACAAACACTTTGCCAAGCCTATAGCCCTGTGGCCTATGATTCTGCCTCCAGCCAAACTGAAGAGAAAACAGACCCCATACAGCACTCCTCAGCACTGAACATTACTGAACAAAGGACAGCATTAGAAAAGAAGAAGAAAATAATACAGACAGGAGACGGCAGGATAAAGACATGATGGGACATGACAGAATAAGATAAGATACTACACAATATGGTATGGGATATGATATGATATGATATGATATGATATGATATGATATGATATGATATGATATGATATGATATGATATGATATGATTTGGGTCATTAAGAATATATATGATATGATATGATATGATATGATATGATATGATATGATATGATATGATATGATATGATATGATATGATATGATATGATATGATATGATATGATATGATATGATATGATATGATATGATATGATATGATATGATATGATATGATATGATATGATATGATATGATATGATATGATACGATACGATACGATAACATAAGACAGGACAGAACAGTACAGGATAAGATAGGACAGGGCAATACAGGACAGGACAAGACAGGTCAGGATAGGATAGGATAGGACAGGACAGGACAGGACAGGACAGGACAGCACAGGACAGGCCAGGCCAGGACAGCACAGCACAGCACAGGTCAGGATAGGATAGGATAGGACAGGACAGGACAGGACAGGACAGGATGTGACCTGAGACTCGAACCCACAACCTTTGGAGTACAAGTCCGACTCTCTAACCATTAGGCCACGACTTATTATAAAAGAGATATATAATAATATTTAGTTTAAAATGTAGGTTTAAATAACGCAACTATTACATGTGAAGTTACACATTTTATGAATGTAGGTCACCACTGAGATATAACTCTATATAACACTATAAAAACATTTAATGAGAGTGGCTAAAAGAGTATCAAACCACAAATGTTCTTCAGTAGCGAGACACAACAAAAAAATAAAAAAGTAACAATAGGAAACATGCTGTCTTTGAAATGTACGGGGAAAGCATGAAAGCATGTAGCTGTCGGATAGGATAAGACAGGTCAGGATAGGATAGGATAGGATAGGATAGGACAAGTCAGGTCAGAATAGGATAGGATAGGATAGGATAGGACAGGATAGGATAGGACAGCACAGGACAGGACAGGACAGGACAGGACAGGACAGGATAGGATAGGATAGGATAGGACAGGACAGGACAGGACAGGACAGGACAGGTCAGGTCAGGTCAGGTCAGGTCAGGTCAGGATAGGATAGGATAGGATAGGATAGGATAGGATAGGATAGGATAGGACAGGACAGGACAGGACAGGACAGGACAGGACAGCACAGGACAGGCCAGGCCAGGACAGCACAGCACAGCACAGGTCAGGATAGGATAGGATAGGACAGGACAGGACAGGACAGGACAGGACAGGACAGGACAGAGGGCAGGACAGGACAGGACAGGACAGGATAGGATAGGACAGGACAGGACAGAATTAGACGGGACAAGATAAGAAGCAGTAGAAGATACAATGCATACCACACTGAACAGGCTAAGACATTGTTGGATAAGACAGGATGGTATTGGATGGGAAGGGACAGGACAGAAAAAAATACATACCATATTGCACACAACATGACATGGTTGGATAGAACAGGACAGGAGACAGGACAGTAAGCAGAACAGGACAGGACAGGATAGGATGAGACAGCATAAAAGATAAGATGCAATAAAATACCATACTGAACACTGCATTGCAAGGTTGATATAAAGGACCGGACAGAATAGGATAAGAGACAAGACAGAAATATGTAATACATGACCATAACCTTGTTTTAAATGTTTCTCCTAAAACATCTTAGAACACAAATATCAACAAATAAGACAGTTGTTGATATAAAGTAAAGTAAGAGTGTAGAGCTATAAAATAAAAGTACACAGCATAGCCCAGAAGTTGATCTTGGGGGAATTTGATGAGAAATTGTTGAGGTCATATTGAGATCTCTGACTCTGACTGATATCTTGACAAATCTGTGCACAGTTTGCGGCAATGTTGAGATCTTCTGAAACAGTGAAATTAATAAAAACATTATTATACAATTAATCAAAAAAATATGAGAAAGCATTAGACTTAAACATAAGTGTCCATTTGTCCTCCATTTAATCTCACTGCTGTCCTGCAGTTGAGAAACAAATCTAATTTCTCATTCTCATCTCTCATTTGCAATTTTTCTATTGTAAAAATTAATATGTGCTGATGCTATTTCCTGTTACTCATGCCAGGCATTTGATTCCTTATGAATACGTCATACATACGAGTATCTACGTATGAGTACGCCCCCTTACAGACATTTTTGGTTATCCACTATTAGGTCATCTTCTGCCTCTCATTGTGTTTAATATGATGAATTCTCCTCTCTCTCCCCATTCTATTAATCTCTATACATCTCCATCCTTCTCCATGCTTGCTCATACTTACATAATTATTATCATATGAATACACTCATACAATACATCAAGAATACACTTTTTGTTCATTTCTATCTTTCTCATTCCTTCTCCCCCTCTCTGTTCTCTACATGATACCCTGCCATGTTGTCATGGCAACAATCAGGACCCAAGGGCTCCGTTGCTAGGCAACTCACATCACCCATAAGAGGAACATGAAGATAAAAAGTCAGAAACAAACAAACCACGTAAATCAAAGGTTAATTCTCTCATTATTTGTGTGTGTGTGTGTGTGTGCTCTGGTACCAATACTTCAATAACTCATTTTTTAAAAGACGACGCGTGTCATATTCAGAACATCAGTCACACACTGTTCCCTTAAACACAACACACAATCCTTCATCTTACAATGAGACGGAACTGCAGCAGATATCGTGACTGTATATAATCTTAAAGACTGTGCATTTGCTGGATATCACTTCCTTTTGCTATCAAAATCAAACA